GTTTCATTGTTTCCCTCCTCAAGCTTTAAAATCGATCTCCCTTGGGGCTGGCAGGTGGTGTCCTAATTAGGCGCTGGGCTCCCACGTGGCTGACTGTGGTTCGAGTCCTGAACTTGGTGGCTTGCTTTCTCATTTTCCCTTTCTCTCTCTCTGGTTGAATTAAAATAAAAATAATAAATAAAGTGAAATAAAAATAGTTCTTTAGTGGGCCAGCAGGTGGTATGGTGGTTAAGGCACTGGATACTCCCACATGGCCAACCATGGTTCGAGTCCTGTACCTGGTGGCTTGCTTACTCACTTTCCTTCTCTCTCTGTGTCTCTTTCTCTGGTCAAAGTAAATAAATATAATGAATAGGGACCAGCAGTTGGCATAATGGCTATGTCACTGGACTCCCATGTGGTCGACTGAGGTTCAAGGAGAAGGGACTGCAGCATGGTCATCCCCCTTGGGGGGTGATTTCTCGCTTTCCTGTCTCTCTCTCTCTGTCTTTCTGGCAAGCGCACGTGTCCTTTAGCAAAAAGAATGAATAAATAAAATTAATTCTTTTTAAAAAAATAATTCTTTTACAAAAAGTTTATTTTAAAATTATTTTATTTCACTTTATTTATTTTTAATTTGACCAGAGAGGGACAGCAAGAGCGAGAGAGAGAGAGAGACACAGAGAGAGAGAGAAAGTGAGAAAGCAAGCCGCCAGGTCCGGGACTTGAACTGCGACTGGCCATGTGGGAGTCCAGTGCCATTAACCACCACACCGGCTCATTCTCAGTCTCGCTCTCTCTCTCTTGTTTTTAAATTTGGCTATAGGTCACATGCACTTACTGGAAAAAGAGAAAGAGGGAAAGCAAGAAATCACCCCACACGGGACACACCGCAATCCCGTCTCTGTTCTCCTCTCGGGACTTTTGCTGCGCACACACATGTACCAGCGTGATTTTCAACCTGTTGGGTCTCAAACCATGGAGTTGGCCATGTGGGATCCAGCGATTAACCTCCGTGCCACCTGCTGGGCTTTCCTGACCCACTATCCTCATTTCTAGGTTTTGGCCATAAGGGTGTGTGAGCTCCCCAGAGAGAAACAGAGAGAGGGAAAGTGAGAAATCCCGGCCCCTCCACAGGAGGGGTGGCCACGCTCTAATCCCTCCCCCTCCGTTCTCCCCCTGGGATCTTGGGCATGCACGCACACGCTACCGGTATGAGTTTCCAGCTACTGGGTCCAGGACTCGAACCATGGTCAACCATGCGGAGTCAGTCCAGCACCTTAACCACTAGGTCATCTGCTGACCCCAATGATTTATTATCCTTTCGATGAAGATATAAAACATTCAGATTGTGTATACCAAAGTCCTGCTCCATGGCTTGGGCAAGCCCGACCTGCTGGTCCCCGGACAGGAAAAGAAGCACCCTTGACCCCAGAAACCGACTGGCCTCCCTCCCTGCACTTCCCACGGGGGCAATGGCTCCCTGCCTTCTTGCTTCCTGTTTGTCCACTGTGCTGTTCAGACGACAGATAACGGGTGGCTTTCTGCGGAATTTTTGGAAGTCCCAGAAATTTTATGTAAAGGAATGTATCTCTAAGCGGAAGGTCTGTTGTCCTTGTCAGTTTCCCAGAGGGGTTTATGAGCCAAGGGGGCGCCTTTAAGAAATCAAAATATTGTTTCCCATGAGCAATCGCCAGGGACCATTTGGTTACTATGTCTTTTATCTTGTTCATCTTGAGCTTAAGGCGCCCATCCTTGGGGCTGGCAGGTGGTGTGGTGATTAAGGGCGTTGGACTCCCCCATGGCTGGCTGTGGTTCGAGTCCCGGACCTGGAGGCTTGCTTTCTCATTCTCTCTCTCTCTGGTCAAATACAAATAAATAAAGTTAAATAAAATAATTGTTAAAAAAAAAAGGAGACTCCCATCCTGGGCCAGCAGGTGGTGTGGAAGTTAAGGCGACTGGATCCCGCATGGCCAACTATGTGGTTTGAATCCTGGTGCCGGTGGTTTAAAATTCATGGTGATGCATGAGCGTGTGTGCCTAAAATCCCGAGAGGAGAATGGAGGAGAAGGGACTGCGGCAGGGCCATCCCACCTTGGGGGGGGAGGGTGATTCTCATTTCCCTCTGTCTCTCTGTCTCTCTGTCTCTCTCTGCCTCTCTCTCTCTCTGCCTCTCTCTCTTGTGAGTGTAAGTATCCTATAGCAAACTATAAAAACAACAAGCAGACCTTCCCAACTACCCAGGATATTTTTCAGAGAGAGATTTTTGTTATAGGGCACATGTGGTTGCTGGAGAGACAGAGAGAGACAGAGATAAAAAAAGCAAGAAATCACCCGTTGGGGGGGATGGCCATGCCGCAATCCCTTCTCCTTCATTCTCTCAGGATTTGGGGCATGCACGCACATGCACCCGGTGTGAGTTCTAAGCCACCGGGTTGGGGACTTGAACCACGGTCGACTACGTGGGAATCCAGTCCACTATCTGCTGGTCCCATTAACTTCATTTCTTTTTTATTTATTTATTTATTTATTGGTTCATTTATTTCAATTTGACCAGAGAGAGAGAAAGAGAGAGAGGGAGAGAGAGAGAGAGAAAGTGAGGAAGCAAGCCACCAGGTCCGGGACTCAAACCACGGTCGGCCATGTGGGAGTGTCCAGCACCTTAACCACCACACCACCTGCTGGTCCCCTAACTTCATTCCTAACATGAGAGAGAAAGGCAGGTGTCCCCAACAAGGTCTGCACACTTCCGTCCACCCCTAGTCCCCGCCCGCTGGATCATGACGCACATGCGCACCCAGACGCAACCCAGGGCCCTTCCCGTGTGGGTCCGGCTGTAGGAACACTGCGCCGCCATCCGGCCCGGTACGGTGGTACTGGCTTTGCGTTTTTGGAAAGGACACAGTAGAGATGGTGGCCTCTTTGGAGCAGAGCCTGATAGGTGTCAGGTCCCACTTGTGCAATCTACGGGGCTTATCTCGGACTTCCCGCCCCTGCTGATAAGACCCGGCTATCTTTAGCTGCCATGACCAGTTCCAAGGTCACAGGGAAGCTGCAGAGCCAGAATCCGAATCCAGCTCTTATCTCCTCTTTATTTCAATCTATATTTTCTCAAAGATGATTTAATTTTAACTATTATTAATTTCCTACAGGCACTCACAGAGTGTAATGGGGGAAGGCAGTTGGGATAGGGAGTGAGAAAGCTAGCCGCCAGCCCCGGGATTCGAACCATGGTCCACCATGTGGGAGTCCAGCGATGTAACCACTAAGCCATCTGCTGGTCCCCCAATAAATAAATTTTTTTAGAGGTTTTGCTATAGGGAGCATGCATACTCACCAGAAAGACAGAGAGACAGAGAGCAAGAAATTACCCCCCAGGGGGGATAGCCACGCCACAGTCCCTTCTCCTCCATTCTCCTCTTGGGATCTTGGGTACGCACGCACACGCGCCCAGTGTGAGTTTTAAGCCTCTGGGTCCGGGACTCGAACCACAATCGACTACATGGGAGTCCAACGACATAGCCATTACGCTAACTGCTGGTCCCCCAATAAATAATTTTTTAAAAAATTGCTGCGGTGATTAAGGCTCTGGACTCCCATATGGCGGCCACAGTTTGTGTGCCAGATATGGTGGCTTGCTTTCTCACTTTCCCTCTCTTTGTCTCTCTCTGGTCAAATTTAAAATAATAATAATCATATAAGTAAAATTATACACACACACGCATACATAAAACGGGGAGTCAGCAGGTGGCATGGTGGTTAACCAGCTGTATTCCCACATTGGTGACCATAGAGCAAACCCTGGACCCAAAGGCTTGAAAAACACGCTGGGGACCAGCAGATGGCATAATGACTGTCACTTGACTCCCACACGGTCGGCGATGGAGTTTCAAGTCCTGGACCCGGAGGCTTGAAACTCACAGGCGTAGTGTGTTTGAGCATGCTCACAATCCCAGGAGGAGAATGGAGGAGAAGGGATTGAGGCATAGCGCCCCCTGGGGGGTGATTTCTTGTTTTCTGTCTCTGTCTCTCTGGCAAGCGCACGCAACCTACAGCAAAAAATCTCTGAAAAACAAAAAGAAAACCACACCAGCACGTGTGTATGCGTGTGTGTGTGTGTGTGTGTGTGTGTGTGTGCACTGCCGCAAATCTGAGAACAGAATGGGGGAGGACGCACTTGCAATCCCTCCTCCAGGGTGATTTTTCAACTTCACTCCTTCTGGTGGGCCCACACACCCTATGGCCAAAACGTAAAAAATATACATATATATGGGACATGCTAGTGGCATGGTGGTCAGGGTGGCTGGAACCCATATGGCCAACAGAATGGTTCGAATCCCGGATCCAGCAGTTCACTGAATACTAAACACCATCCATAATCTCATGCACTTCACCCAGGAGGAAAGTCGGGCACAGGGGGGTGGAGGCAGGTAACCCAGCCCAGCTCCGGGTAACGGCTAAAGTGGCAAACCCCGCTCTGGGTCAGTTTCCCCACCCCTGAGATGGGCTTCCTGGCAGCAGCCACCTCCCAGGGTTTAGAGGTAAATATAGGAGCTTGCAGGGACTCGCCCCAAATAAACCAAGCTGCAGCCCCATCTAGCTCTGCGGCCTCCTATGGAACTTATTTGTGACGTTTGTCGTGTGCATGCCATGCACACTTTGCAGAACGTCCACACAGTCCACGGGAACAGGCCCACCGCTGTGCGCTGAGAACCGCGCCCCGCACAGGGCTGGCAATCAATCCGCCTCGGGAAGAATAAACAGCTTCACGCTCGCAGAGTCGCTTGTCAGGCCACGCAGGCGCGCCAGGAAGGCCTCCGGAGACGCCCCTGCCTGCGCCGATTGGTCAATATCGATGATTGACGGAGGAACCGGCGAAGGCGTATCAAGCCAGTCCCGAGACACCCTCCCACAGACTGCGCCTATTGGCCATTGTAGATAACTGACAGGGAATTCATCCAATAGAAATAGGATATCTGGGAAAGAGGCGGACCCCGCCAGCAGTCAAATTTGCGCGGGTTTGGAGCAGGCGCAGTCATGGCGTTCTTCCGCGACATGGAAGACCTGAGCCTGGAGCTGCTGAGCCTGCTGGGCACCAACCGCGCCGAGACGCAGCAGCGGCGGCCGGCGGGGGAGCGCCAACAGG